ATTCTGAGCCAAGACACTGTTTTCTCAGAAGCATTTCTTGGCCAGCGGGCGACTGTCATACTTGGTGGTACATATATCTTCGTTCCTATGAGTTCTGATTACAAGCTCCATTGAATCTCCTACGATCACATGATTGCTTTGTGTTTCAGTACATATAACAATGTAGAAGCTTATTCTCTATCTTATCATTGGTCAATTTTTTTTTATCACTTCATAACATTAAGTTGTCGAAACCATTTTGTTGTGTAACATCTGAACTGCCGATGCAGCGATACAAGATATTTTCAAAGAAAAAAAGTCTATAGTATGCATCATAGATATTGCAGTCTGTGTTTCTTTTGCGTTATTGATCCCTTGCACAAAAAACGAAATGTATTCTTGGCATTAAACAATTCACGGTTTATTTAGAGTACACTCCGTTATTCCCCTTATTTTGTTTGTTGTTTTGTTTTTTTGTTTTTTTTTTCTTTTTGTTTGCTTTGTTTTGTTCTCATGTTTAAATAATCACGTGTGTAATCTAACTTATTGTGACGTAAGGTGTAGACAATGTAATGGCATTACACTCCAGGAGATTGCAGTGTGATTTTGGAATAGAAACTACCGGAAATGGCGTTTGACGTGGAATTGTCATGTATTTGACAATACTTGTCTGAATAAAGGACATTGCGATATGAAGTTCTATCTCATTGAAATGTGATTATGAATACAATAATTCGGTTCATACTCACGAATGCAATAGACACCTATTTAAGATGTTATGCATGTGATATCTTAAAGTCACTAAACACCTCATACTTACATGACATATAACGCCTTTTATCAAGATGCCCTACGGCAGATATTTTGATTAGCGCAAAAATGCCTCAACCAACTTTCCAGCTAAACTGCATTGTATATCATTTTTTTATTTTTTATTATTTTTGAAAGCATTGTTTTTTCGTTCAGACTAATTGGTACAACAATGGTAATCGCCGGTCAATGTTGACAATTTAAAACTGCTTTCTTGGCTACAACTGAATTGATATCACTAGTCCGGGCTGACGTTGTAGCGGTTACCTCTGATCACCAAAGTTCCTGGTTGCAGATGACCGTTTTCAAGGTTATTAGCAATCACGTAATCCTGAATAAATTGATGTCTTTTCGAACACGAAAATGTGCGTGAGTGAATACATCTACAAACTAAAATGCATTATTAATATATTCTAGTGATTACAAATGAATTCTCTGGTGCGATAATAAATGCATTCACATAACTGTATATTTGATACGTCTCTGTACATTCTTACACTGTACATGTTATATAGAGAAATTGTGGAGTAGGAGAAGCGGGTTAATGTGGTACGACGTAATGCGAGGTCGTGCACGTGAACCTACACAACACAGATCACGATGAGGAAGAACAATAAAATCTACGAGAATGTAAAATATATTGACGTGTGTTCTGGAATATTATTTCATTTTGTTGTTATCTTAAGTATACACTACCAATTATTATCAGTTGCAAGCCCAAAGGAATGAAACTGTTCAGTTCACGAGTCTTTAATCTGCATAATTATTGAAAATACAGTATGAAGGAAATGCTCAGTATCTTCAACGTTGGTAGTGTTGGAAATTTATCAAAATAGCATCTGACACTCAATGACAATCTATATGTAAAATAATTTATTTTCTATCGTCAGTCTAAACACAATGCCATGCGACCTCGAGCTTCGTTTGATTTACATCAAACGATTGAACTACAGTAGTAATCTTCTCGTTTTATTCACAAAGTGTCGCATATAAAACCTCCATTATTTAAATGTTTCAGGGTGTAGAAAGCGATAGGGAGTAAAACTCCTAATCGATGACACAGACTGCTACAGTTCATTAAGGATTCTTTACTGAGGGCTTTTCATGTTTAACAAAAACCACAAACCCAGGTCTCATGAGCTGTTGGGACAGGTATGTGTGTCGGGTAGATATAAGGTTAAGAAGACCAGGTGTTCCAGACGAGTAAACGTCTTCTGCTTCATCGACAACGCCTGTCAAGTAAACCTCGGTTAACCCAAGTAAGCAATGTCACAATGAGGACACGGTATATAACAAGGGAGTAAACTGGTAAACTAACGAGTATTGAACACGTCCAGCTTTATATCGCACAACGTAATATAGTATTTATCTACGACATCACTATCACGACCGTAAAACATCTCGAAAATGAAACAAAGGGAAACAGGTTATAATGTACCTGATGAGAGACTAAGATATGGAGCGAGAGTAAAAGTCAATTGCCGTGTATATATTACTTGCAACAACAATCAAAAATGAAAAAAATATCAAAATCTAATTTTGTTGAATTTGTAGAGATGTTCTTCCACACTCTTGCACACTACCTGAAGGGTCAGACTTGGAAGAATTACACACAGGCAAAAGGACTAACATTTCAAGAGTATACAGAAGAGAATTATGTTGTAGTGCAACCTTAGAGACATGCAATCGAATATTTCTTTACATCAATCAGTTTCAGAGGAGAAGGAAAACAAAAGCAAAAAAAAAAAAAAAAAAAATTAAACAAAAAACAAAACAAAACAAAGAAAGTACCATTATGTCAGTAGAACCAACTTCCAATTTCAGGGGTTTTTAGGGTTAATGTACCACGTTTTTTTAACATTTGTTTAGATCGAGTTTGGAACGTTTGTTGTTGACCAGCTGTATTTCAAAACAGCATAAGAGCAAACATAAGGCAACTTTCAAACTCTCTTGAATTGTTAGCACTCACAGCGACAATTACATCGGTTAATATTTGCACTGCTATCCATAATATGAATATTCTTTCACTGGGCGATGAAAACAATATTTGACGTTTAGTAATCCAAATACTGAATTTGGTATGCATCGTGTGTAATTTGGTTTGGGCATACAAATGGTGGCAAGTGGTAAGTACAATGTTGCCCGTTTTATTTGAACGATACACGTGTATAAACATATAAAATATTTCACTTTCGTTTGAAGCTGGTGTTTTCACACTGCAGCAGTTTTCAGATTTTTTTACTTTCGTTTTAAGTTGATACTTTAACATTACAACTAGATTTGAATCTTTCTTTTCATCACTTTGGATGTTCCTCAGACACCTCATCGGCTTCAAAACAAGCCCTTAGCATCACTAACGAGTCCAAGAAGGACGAAATTGCTGTTTCTTATTCTAGATTTGTGTTGAAAGGTGTTATTCACTTGTGTGTCTTTTTTACAATCTCAAAAGCTGATTTTTGTACTGCACCATCCCATGGTCATCCATTTTCCCTTCAATTCAAAGCAGGTGATTTCTTAACTTTCACGTCAGGCTGATATTAGCATATTTCAGCATCCATTGATCATCACTATGTTACACTTCACCATCCCTTGGCCACCATTGTATTGACATTGCAGTATCTTGGTATCATTTTCTAACTTTCATTTAAAGCTAACATGCTTGCACTGCCGCATTCCCTCCGTCACACGTTTATTAACTTTCACTTAAAGCTGACATTTTTACATTGCGGCATCCCTTGGTCAGCAATTTATTGACTTTTATTTAAAGCAGATATTTTTACACTGCAGTACTTCTTGATCATCCGATTTTTATTTTCGTTTTAAGTCGATACTTTTACATTAAAATATTCCTTGGTCATCAATTTTTTTTTCCATTTAATGCTGACATTCTTGCACTGCAGCACCTCTTGGTCATCAGATTTTTACTTTAGTTTTAAGTCGATACTTTCACATTATAACATCCCTTGGCTATCATATTATTACTCTTCACCAGTCCTTGGCCACCTTTCTTTTGCCTTTTGTTCAAGGCTGATATTTTTTTTATATTGCAGCATCTTTGGGTATCATTTTTAAACTTTCATTTAAAGCCGACATTTTCGCACTGCAGCAACCCTTGGTCACCACCTTTTTACTTCGTTATATTAGCATTAAACCTGATCGAATAAGGATTTTATCAAGTATGATTATTGTAACTTAAGAAATGATATATACTTAGTGTATCTTAATCTAGATGTTATTTTACATCATCCAAAACGTCATATATTTTTTAATCTCTTATTCACCCCGTGAGAACACAAATTGATGATTTTTCAGGGTATGATTTCTCTACGCGCGTGTTCTGTAATGAAATTCCTTTTGTTTTACAACTAACTGGTTGGTCAGTACATTTGAAAACCGATGTCATATTTGCTTGTAATCAACATAATGGTAGGATTGGTTTAATTGTGAAGATTAATAGTAATGATTATGTAATATTCAGTTTGTGTGTATGTATGAAATTCGTTTGGTCCATGTAATTTGAACGTTACTTCATTCCTTATTTTTTTTGGTTTATTTTGATACAATATATTCGAGCATTGGTGTCAGTTATATATGTTGTCTTCCCCTATATAAAAGAAGTGTTTATCTCTTTCACAAGCACGTCGGTAAACAATCGTCTTTCACCCTTTTTGAATGCAGAAATTCGAATATTTTGTGACGCATCTATAGTTGTGTAACTCTAGTAAATACTAACCGCAATTTACTAATTAGCTACATAGAACTTCTCTTTACCTCGATCGGTTGAGCGTCAGACTAGTAAGCCAGGGTTCCGGGTTCGTAACCTTGCATTGAAATCAATAACAACCTCTGTTACAGGATTTACAAATTAAAGAACTTTAGCAGGCAAATATAACAGTGTATGCCAGCACAATCTGGCGTTTGTTATGGTCGGCGTCCCATGGTTAATTTGCATGAATTATATTGTTAGACTTGTATTTTTTGTTAGATTATTTTTTAATGATGACAGTTTAAGTGACTTCTATAGATACAGGTCATTGCTCATTTTAACTCGGGAAATAGTCCGGAAGTGAGGGACCATAGACCGACTTTAAATTTAGAAATGACTTAAGTATCAACAATAATGGCTGCGCCCATGAGTGATGTGTCCCGTCCAAAGTCTCCTGACGTACAGACATAATTTAGATTTGGTAATTAGATATACATGGTGGTAGAAGTTCCATATCAAGTCTGGAATGGAGTTTTTAAAGGAACGGTAACAATATTTTTACTCTTTGTTTTGTTTTGATATCCGTAAGTTGCAGTGATTTCTTTGACTCTCATATTTTGAGTCATGGGCTCACGTTTTTCCTGTGCTTTGGGATTCACTCATATTTTTAAGATCCATGTCACTATATCTCTTAGTATAAGGATGCACCTAACATTTGGAATTGTTCTTCTGGAGTTGTCTGAAAAAATCAAACAAAATTTGCTTTTGTATGCTTACTATTGTACTGGGAAATCGAAAGTAAAATTTGATTGGCTACACCAAAAAAGCTGGTTAAGATATATATGCAGTTGAAATTCGTCGTCTCGAAAATTGCTTGAGTCGTTGATTGTTTGAGTTAAAATAATTTTCAAGTCACGAATTTCCCCTTCTATATCCTAGCATTTTTAGTTTGGATGACTCATATTTCATTGAGCTGAAATTTTGGTTGCGTTGAAGCAATTTTTCAGTCCCTTTAATTGTAAAGAAAGATAAAAGTCATTCGTTGTTTCGAAATTAATTTTTGTCAAAACATTGGCACGTCTTCTGACAACATTGGTAAAACTTGTTCACTGATGATTAATTACCAGTTTTAGTATCCAATTAAGGGTTGGCTTCTTAATTAGTGTCACCATCCTGTAGTAGTGACTTACCTGTACAATAAAAAGTAGCGTGTTTTACACAAAACATGAAAACAGCTAGCTTCCTTGCATGTATTTTCAGGAAAGATAAAAACAAAACCATCAAACCAGTATGTACTTTTTGACAAAATCTGATCCCCATAATTAAAAAAGAAATTCTGAGTTTGTTAACTAAAGGACTGTGATCACGCAGTTTGTCAGATTTAGTGTCTGGACAATGAAATGTTGAAAGTATTTTTCATTGATAGAATGTGTGATTTGTTAAGTCTAGTGCTTGTACAATATTTTCTGTAACAAGTAAAAACATTCTAGTGCCGCATTTTTCTTATGTTTATTTATTCATAATAAAGTTACATTGATATGATCTATGGCTTCATACATCTTTTCTTGTAGCGTATCAAAAGCAAATTTAGATTTCGTATTATGTCGTTCTGTATAATATATGACGTGTATGTGCTTGGTCAGTAAAGGTATTGAACATGTGTGGGGGACGGAATGACGAGAGTACAATTGCATTTGATTGGAGTTGTTATTACATGTTTTTGCTATTTGGATGAATGAACAAAAGGAGAAAGTAGGATAAATTCTTCTGTTTATTTACAGCAATTTTGTATATCATATGAAAGTATACTGTTTGCATGTTATTGCAGCTCTACTTTGTTGAGAAAACTAATATCGTCAACCTTATTTATACACTTGGTTTGAGTTGAAATACAGACGAGTCAAAAAACATTTTCAACTGTTCCATGAATTTCGAGATTAAAAGTTTAGACTGTATATTAATTTTCATTTTAAATTCATGTTGTTTAATATCAACCACAATATAGTTGTTCAATGTTCTGATTGCCTTATAATGTTACAGTGTCCTAGTATATATAAGCGCCCATACTACACACAGTTTTCATACTGACTTGCATCTATAACAGGAAAAAAGTAGTGTACATGTGCCTCAGCAGGGGATGGAACCCATGACACTAGTTTACTGTATCACTGCCACACTGATCTATAATAAAAGGGAAACTCCTTGTGGTGCGAAACTAGACAGTGCCCCTACATATGTATAATGCATATTTATCTATGCCACTGCCCCCTTCTAATGTGTTTGTCAACGAAAACCACATCAACCCGTGTCCTTTTGCTCCAAAAAATCCCCTCAGTCTACTCCTGCACTTTGAGTGGTCTATGGCACCAAATATTACAGGAAAAGAGTAGTTTGTCTCTCTTAGGGATCTGTTCTATTTTGGGATTACTCCTTGGCACTAAGTTATATTGTGACTGTGACAGTGTCCCTCAGAAAGGAATAACCATGGATTAAACCTATGACCCAGCTGGCTCGCTGGTCATGGTCAACAATTAAAGGGAAATTCCCTTGAGGGTGAAGCTGGGTGGTAATTGTATCTAAGCAATTAAGACTTGCCACACTTACATGGAATACTATAGAAAGGCAATTCTGACATAATTAATTAAATACTTGTAAAAGCAGACTACATGTTCATTTACATATCTACAACACTGAAACTTGTCATTTAGAAATTATGAAGAAAGAAAGTAAACGAAGAAGAGTAGAAAACTAACAACCTTTAGTGCATAAAATGGAAAAAAAAAATTTTATGGTCTAAAGGTTTCAATTCATGGAGAAATGAGAGCTTAGAAATAATTAAGGCTTTGAGATGTTGGAGAGGGTTATTGTATTAAAATCTCAAGCTTAAAAATACTTGAAAAAATATCAAGGATATGGAATGCAATGTTATAGATATCTAGCTACATGTAAATTAATTTATTCCACATACTACCAAATCTTGCATTCAAATGGTTTTTTTTAGCTTTTCTTACAAAGAAACTGTCAATATGTAGGATAGAATTGATTTTTAGATGCAAGGAAACAGTATCTATAGGGAAGACTAACAAGTAGACCTTACTTTTCCCTTCAAAAAACCCAACAACACATTTCTACTTCAGTCTATTTAAAAAAATCAAGAAAATACCAACATTGCAAAATAATCATAATTCAATCTCAATTCTATAAAACTTGAGCAAAAATGAACAAAAGAAAGATTACACAGAGACTCCTGAAAAAGTTCAAGGAGAATTAAGACCAGGTATTGCAGAAGAGTGAGTGTCTTCTGCTTCATCAACGACATAGCCATGTAAACCTTGGCCATTCCAAAAAAGTAATGTCACCTTCTCAAATGAAAACAAGGAATACAGCAACAGAACCAACAGGCAAACTAACAGGCATTAAATACGTCCAGCTTCATGTCACACAGAGAAATAGAATATTTGTCACTCAGATCACTATGGGGACCATATAACTTCCCCATAATTTTCATCAACCTGCATCTTTAGAACCCTTATGTTGCATGACATGTAACTGGTTGTGCATTATGTATTTTTAGACTGAATAAAACATCATTTTGATATGGAATGTACTTTTTTGTAAGTACTGGATGACAGGCAGCCTTAATGGACTTTGTATTATTGCAATAATTTGTTTTAGTTCTTACGATTTCTTGCATGGAGAATTACTGGATATATAATTCTAAAGTTTCTATATATGATATGTATGTTTTCCTTTGTCCCTAGTTGTTCGCACATTGATCCAAAGATAGGTGTATTAGATTTTGGAGCTAATTTCAAAGAAAAGAAAAATTGAAGAATTATGTTGCAAATACCTCTCTAGGATCTATTGTTTTGCCCACCTGGCATTGGCATAAAACATTATCTATCTCTGAATTTCATACCCTAGTCACTGTTCATTTTTGCTTAAATTTTAAATTTTAACTTCAATTAATCAATGTTTCAGCGTCTTAATTCCAAGTATGTTTATTTAGACCAACCTACCTCAGATAAGCAAATGCTTCATAGGTTATAAAGTTCAAGGTCACTTTTTGAAATTTAAGTCTTGTCCAAATTTTGTCATAAATGCAAGTTTACAGTGTTGTTGATCATGTTAATACTTGTTATATATAGAAAATACCTTCCTGGTAATTTCCAGTTGGAGGATAGATTATTTCTGTACTATATAAAGTGATATTCTGATAAACACCTGTTTTATTCCTTTATTTCGATACATCATATACATTTTTAAGTGATTTCTTTTTGTCACAGCTCCTGGAACTAGAACTTTTACTTCCAATCCTAGCTTTCTGATTGGTTGAAATTTTCTAGCATGTTACACATGACACCTAGTAGCAGTTGTAAGCTATAAATAATGCTGTTTCTTTAAAACAATGCCGTGCACAGTAATTCTGTGTTCATGTTATAGCATTGCCTAGAATTGAAAAAGAAATTTATTATATTCAAAGCACTAGAATGTGGCTACATACTGATGTCTGCAGGCATAAGAATGCATGGATTATCTCCCTTCTATCGTTAAAACAGTTAGTAAAAGAGAACTTGGTAATTAGTAACAAACAAAAGATAATATTGATACTTGCTTAATTTCATTTTGCAGCTGTAGTGATTTATCTATGTTTTAAAATGTTTGGACATTTTCCACCCCAAAACAAGTAGAAATAACAGGACATTTTGTATATAAGCATGTTAAATTTCAAAGTATATGTCATTTGTCTTTTGACACTCAGCTGTACGTCGTGGGGTTGGTGCATGTTTATGTATCATATAGATAATGATGTTGGTACTGTAAAGGTGCAGTCAAGGAGTTTAAACTGGTATGCATTACCTGTCTGCTGTTGTAAAAAATGTTGTCTTTGAGATTTAAGACTGAGGGATTATAGATACATATGATAACAATATGTGTACCTTAATTGAGACCTTTCCTTTGCTTAGTCAAGAGTGTCAGTTTTAAGTTCAGAGGTTCCAGGTTCAAGTCTAACTGATTTTGTTCTTTGGCACATTCCTTGTATCATATTTGATCATGTCAATTTATGTATGGTGGTTTGCATACAAAGTTGGGCTGAGATGATCATGGTCAAGTGACAATGTCCCTAATAATAACAGTAAATATCTGTCTGTCTGTCCGTCTGTCTATCTGTCTGTCTAGGTTGATGAGAATGTAATGTCTATCTAGATTTACTCAGAGATAACATCTGTCTGTCTAGATTGATGAAAGTAAATGTCTGACTAGATTTACTCAGGGTAAATGTCTGTCTGTCCATCTGCCTAGGTTGATGAGAATATAATGTCTGTCTTGATTTACTCACAGTAAATGCCTGCCTGTCTAGATTTATACTCAAGAGTAAATTTCTGTCTGTCTAGATTGATGAGAGTAAATGTCTGTCTAGATTTACTCAGGGTAAATGTCTGTCTGTCCATCTGCCTAGGTTGATGAGAATATAATGTCTGTCTTGATTTACTAACAGTAAATGTCTGTCTAGATTTATACTCACAGTAAATGTCTTTCTGTCTAGATTTATACTCAGAGTAAATTTCTGTCTAGATTGATGAGAGTAAATGTCTGTCTAGATTTACTCAGGGTAAATGTCTGTCTGTCTGTCTAGATCATGGAGATGACTTCAGACTAATTAAACACTGAAAATATAAAAGAAACTTCATGTTCATGTAGGTAAATGATACTGACACATTTGTCAGCTGGATATTATAGCTATGTGAAGATTACCTTCATTCTGTCAAGACAATAGCTACAGTTTTTAGACCCTGAAAAGTGTCATAATAATGGGCCGTTGTGATGTACAATTTGTCATTAAGATGTTCAAACATGCCAATCAAATATATACAGTTGTACAATACTTTGGTTTTATCAAGATCAATGGAAAGGAAGTAAACTTTGATATACTGGAAGACTGCCAAAAATCTGATCTCATTATACTGAACATAATGATCAGGAGTGTCTTAGTAAAGGAAAAAAAAAATTTATAATTGCTTTCTCTGTCTGTCAGTGTTCCCAGTGATCGCAAATTGTGTAATATTGCCCAATGCGTGGTTTTCTCTTAAAGTTTAAAAAAAAAATGCAATTGATTTTAAAGTTTTTTGAAATCAACTCTTTCATATATTTCTGTTTAAAATACATTCATGTTAAGTGATCTTTCAGTTTCTGTTTCGATATACGTTACTTGAAGTGGATTACGCTATGTTTCTCTGTGTATTGTAGAACAAGAAATGAAACATGGAAGAAATATGATAATACAATGTATTGTTAAAGGAAGGGTCAAATAGGGTTATATTGCAATATTCCAGAAGTGTATTTTAATCATATTTCAGTATAGATAGAAAGTGGTGATGATAAATGTAACCATATTGTCCATGTTAACTGATACAAACTCTTCAGGGACCTAATCCAGTCGCCATTTCTCCATCGTCGTGCAATTTACATTTCTGACTCCTTATAAGTAATCAAGAGGCTCATGGTAATGATATTGAGTCCCTAGCTTGTGCCAGATGAAGAGTTACCAAGTTGATGTAGACGTTTGCTCAAGGTCACAAGGCTCATATTTGTTAAATCTTCAAACAAGTTCTTAATAACCATGTAGCTCAGGGCTCTAATATTTTGCCTGTAGCATGCTGTGATGAAGGGCTACAGGTGTGTTTAAATGAATGACCTTGACCCTTTTTCAAGCTCACATGGGTCAAATTTATCAAAATCTTGAAACATCTTCATCTTGAAAACCACAACGCCCAGGGTACTAATATTTGGCAACTGACAAAAAAAATTGAGAATAAATTCTTTTTATTTAAAGTTTGTTAGATTCTTTTACATTGGATGGAAGTCAATCTTCTGCACAGTTTACATTTGCACTACATGTAGAATGTAAATTAAGTGATTTAAACTTTACTTTGGTAACAAGGTGATTTCTGGGATATGTTACAAAAACAATGACAGTATTGATAGGACTCAGGTGACTGTTAAGGTGCTGGGGCCTCTTTGTTTCTCAAGTAGATTTTCCTGAAAATTATACAAAATTGATTGCATATACAGGACTGTAATATGTTTTCCCAGAGACTCTTATGTATGAAGCCAGGTAACAGTTAAGGCTGCTGGATGTGTCCTGGCTACTTTTCTATGTGGAGTCATAACTGACAGTCCTGTGTCCTTCACCCTCATTGTCCTCAGGTTGATAAATGCAAGCAAGCTTTGAGGACAAGCGAGAATAAGCCATTGTGTCACATATCTGTCATTTATTTGTTCAGCCAGATGTCTAAGACATTGATACGATAGCTATGGTGTATTACACTGTGTAAAAACTTGTATAATGTGCACACTAACTTAATATGCACAGATATTTTCTGGAGCTGAAAATGGTAAGAAATGCTTTTACAAGCATAATGTTCACACCCAAAAATTCAGTCAAAATTGATCTCCGGGAGCCAAGAAATTGATCTCAGAGTTTTCAGCTGAAACGTCAGACCAGTTATATAAAGTCCAAAAGTGTTCTCTTCATAATTTGTTTTCATCTCATCTACTGACTTTTAATAATCTTCTTTTTAGTTATAGGAAGTATGCTGGGGGTAGATATATATGAATAACCTTGACCCAATTTCTGATGTGTTACAAACTTAAAACATCTTTTAAATCCATGTCAAATGTGTAAAATATATAATTATGAACATTGTACAAAATCTTTTCTTCACCTGTAACAATTAATGGAAAGAAATCACCTGCAACAGTAACTGGAAAGAAAGAGGGATCAATATAAAGGATGTTTGAATATACAGAACTGTAGAACAGGTGTGAGATTCTGGTCCATTTGTCCTGTTGTTGTTTCAGTTTGGGCAGCAATATGACTGCTAGTTATATTTATATAAGTCAAAGTGTCAACATACTTGTAGGATGTGTATTTATCAAACATTTGTTGTACATTGAAATCTCCTGAAGGAAAGTTTGAACAAAACTGATATGTAAACCAAAGAAAGAGGCCAACTTAAAAGTGCTACATTCTGAAATTCATCGGTCGCTACTGCATGACTTTGGTTTTCCTTATTTCTTCCTGATTGTGACAGATTTTTGTAGAGAATCGTGATGTTTAATTGACACCTTATCAATTTTATCATAACAAATGGTTGAAAATAAAACACAAAACACAAGACTCTTTTATCATTTTATTTGCATGTGCAGCGTAGAATTTTACCAGGTACAGTATATACATTATAAATATTTTTATCAGCGTTATATAACTTAGCTGTGCAAGTATATGCTTGGTGTTGATCTATATATTGTGTGTGCATAACTGCTGTAGTGCATAGTCAAAGCAGTCACTGCTAGCCCACAGAGTTCAAAGCGGTAAAAATCACCAACTGAAAGTCACTTGACTGCCTTATAGACACACTTTTGCTGCATTTTGAATGTGAATTTGCATTCACAGTTTTGCAGTCCAAGGGAGGTAATTTTCACCCAAATAGTGTTCCTCAATAGTGTAAATTATGGTCTTTATAATGGCTTGATAATATTTGCCCTAAATTAAAACAAATTTATTAGGAAGTCTTCAAGGCAGATCATGCAGTCTGAATTTCTCTGACGGGAAACATGGAACTGTGTACAGCTTATTATAGATAATAAATTTGATATTAACTAATTGTCATGTGGAACTGGACAATCACCTAAAATTTAGCAACTTGCAGCTTATTCTTCATTAACTTCTTATTGCAGTAGTAAGGAATTTTCACATACTGATGCTTTTTGTCATTTTCTTAACTGAGTAAAAAGTGTAGATGTGAACGTTTTTTATAGGTATACATTATACAATATTATATATAAATATAAACACTTCTAATTTGGTAAAAAATAAAATGAAATTTTGATTCATTGCATTATAATGAAGCAACTCCTGGATAATATATAAATACTTAATTACACATGTATAAGTACTTATTAATGTATATTTGGAATCTTATAGATTTATATCAATCTATTTTTTCTGAAATAAGCCCAGGGAGCTCACACATAATCTGTGATACAAATCGAGGGGTGGGCTTATTAGAGTACAATATGTCAGGGGCTGTCAAGTAACCTTTGATTCAAGGTCAGAGGTTGGGCTTATCTACAGGCAATGAAATAACTTTTATTGGAGATTATATTGAACAACAATACTGATACAAACATGGGCTTATTGTTTGATTAATTGACATGTCTTTAGTCTAAAGGACTATTAAACAATATACCAAGTTTTATCAAATCTTCATTACAACATGGACACATCTATAAGGTTCTAATCATCAAATGTTAGGAACAAATTAGAGCAAAGTTCTCAAATACTCTCAGCTTTACGAATTTTGATGAACAGTTTTGTCGTTACTGACACAATTACAGCTTAATGTATTACATTTATGACATCACAGCATTGTGTTATATGATACTTATAACATGGATTTACTACATATAAGATAATACATAGATGTATACATATGTTTGTATATCAATGTAAATACCAGATCAGTTGCAAAGTCCGTTACCTTATTTCAGTACAATTTGATGTGTATTTTTATCTGAGCAAATTAAGTTCAAGCTAGGTACCATCACCAGAATATCCATTTGAAGCCATATTTTTACCATTGCAGTGCAGGAACTAATTTTCTCACTGAAAATTTGTCAGTTCACTATTCATTATGTAGTTCCAATTATGGCAAAATGAGAGAAAATTAAAACTAGAAAAAAATTTATAATTAGCAGTATCTTATAATTGATATTGTTTTCATAGAAATTGACGATGTACAGAATTTGAGGAAATTTAAAGCAATGTTGTGTCGCCTAAACAACAGCAGAAACGGTTTGAACATGCTCCGTACGAGAACTTGGATGATACTGGTGGCCCTGATGTTGATTGCTGCAGGACTTTGTGTGCATCTCCATTGGCAGTCCCGTTACTGTGTAGGGAGAAGTATGGGAATCGAAGTGGTCGATTGAAGAGAGGGACTGAATTAGTTTTATCTAAATGTACAGGATCGGTGCATGGGCCTAGATTTATTGGGACATCTAGTGTCAGCTTTCCTCCACACGTTGTAAATTTGACAGTCATAAGCAGGCTGTAAGTTATTGTTACAAGACGACAACCAGGCATGACACTAGGTAGAAAGTTTGTATGTGTGGGAAGATGGATTTCATAGAAAATGATGTTACGTTTGTTTGTCTTGGTGATTGTGCCCTCTGGATATTTTTCTTCAACGTTAGCAATGTTGAATTGGGCCTTTGAACGAACACCTTTCACAGAAACTGCTTGCCTCAGAACACATGAAATCTTTTTAATTCTGTTTGCGTAGCGATTTTCCATCTCCAGGTGAATTTTGATATCGTCGCCAGCAAGAAAGCAGGAGCGATCAAGAGACATGTGAATGTTTGCAGGTTCTCGAACTCTAAACACTGAACAAGTGATAGGAACATCTTCAACATGAGACACAGGTGTCATCGCCATGGGAACAGAATGTATGTCAAAAGGACGTTTTACCTGGAATGTTTGTTTGCGTGATACAAGCACTTTGACAAAATTGTTCATAGAGTGTGTGCTGCGTGCTGAAGATGCTCCAACATCATCACAAATTCGAGCTTTCACAAGGTAGGTAGTCTCCAGATTGAATCCGTTGATTTTGTCCTGATAAGTGGTAGATGTCGGGATGGCTTCAGGAAGCTGTAGTCGAAAATTGGAGACATAGTGTCCAGGCGTGATAAGTGATGTCCAACGTCCATCAGGGGTACCAATGATGTAGGAACGTTTACTGAGGAACACATCACGTTTAGTAGTTGACACGCCAGACTCTTGTTGTGTCAGTGTGGCTGTTGTCTGACCAATGATCAACAGTTCTATGAAACGAATATCCATTTCATTACTTATGTCAAAGATAATTTTCCCAGTGAGCTCCTCTCCAGGCAGAAATCGATGACGTTCGTGTTTGTCAAACTCTATGTCAAATTGTGTAACATAATATTCCTTTCGTTCTGGACGACTTCGACGAAAGGCCACAGAACTACCCTTTGTGTCTGTGCTGGGCGTTCTTCGTCGTCTCTGAGTTAGATGACCATTGATCTTAGCATAACCTCGTACGCTTCCAGGATAAGTTGCACTAACTTGGCCAGTTATTGCATGGCCTTGGGTGTGGGGAACCGATCTCTTGATTCCTGGAGATTTAGGCACTCCCCTCATAGAACCTTGAGGAATACCATGTGTAGGGCTCTTGGGAATTGTTGCACCCCTATGTGGATCTCCTTGTAACTGACCACTCCTAGGGTTAGAAGAATGGTACTTCAAATGATTCTGATCCTCTGGGACTGGCACGGTGATGATCTTGGCAAGTTTAGCCTTGCTCGATGCTTCACTGCGATATTTAGCACTACGAGGACTGTTGTTTGCACCATTTGCATTGTTCTGTATATAGTGACGACGCACTTCTTCTGTATCTTGAAATGCCTTGTTCTGTATGTAATGGTGATGATGTTCCTCTACATCTTGAAAATTAAAAACCACATCCGTTTGTGAAACAGAATCAAGGTGGCTGATTTGAATATCCGGATCGCTATTCATTGATCGTGGACTGTTTGGATCTTCCTCGTCATAGGCATTATGGGATTGACGATAACGTGCTGATCTGGCATGAGTGGATGATTTTACAGGCTGCATGGTTTTCTTAAAGTTCTTTTCTTTCTTTATTCAGGTTCCTCAGTTCACACTGGACATTTATGGTCTTCAGCTGGAATGATAAAAAAGAATCTAAGGAAGATACTTTCATTATCAACAAGATGTTGATCTGGAAATTTAAGAAGAGTAAAGATACTGCACATTATCAATTAATGACTGATCATTAAAGATTTGGGGTTGAGGAATTGAAATCCTCAGAAGATCCCTTGATCCTTATTTATTGGCTGTGTATATAATTACATGACACAATTTTTAGCAGATACCATACAATAACAATTAAAAGAATTAAAGAAAGTAAAGAAAACCAAAGACAACCACCTTGTAACTTTACAAAATACTGGACTGGGGTTCAGTTTAGAATTATTTTCTGTGATTCATTCTGTTATTGAACCAAAACATAGAAAACATGGTCGATAAAAATGCCTGTTTCATACAGCATTCAATGAGATGAAGATAGTGGCTAAAATCATAGTCAAACTTTGAATGATGTATTTATCTTCAAATAAGCCTATCAGTACATTCTTTCAGAGACTTGGAGTCAGAGGATGGGCTTATTCCAGGACTCGGAAATGTTCAGATCAGTAAATAAGATACATTTACATCACCAGGGCTTTATTATTACCAGACTTGGGGTTTTTTCTGAATGAAATGTTATATTTATGTTTCGGAGAAAAATATTGATACTTTAAGATTTTCAGTGATAAGTTGATTTATAATTAATGAAAAGGATATGGATAATAGTCTTTGGAAGGCTGCCAGTTTGTTAAAAATTTATGATGCTTCTAATTAGTTGTGGTGTGAAACGTTTTGTTACGGTATAACCAAGCACAAATATGATACACTAACATTTGTCATCAACCTTAAACACTTCATGTTCATATTATAGTTAAACAGCTGAATGATTTCTGCGGGATTATCGCTGTCTATCCCACGCTACGCTGGTCCTGAACCAGAAGTACAGGCGATTATTATTAATCAATAAGAACACATGCAATGTTAATGACTCCGGTCCATCAGTGGATTGCTGTAACCTGGCATTGGAAAGGACATGGTTATATTCTTTGATAAGGTGGGGGAGGATATATATTTTGTGCAATATACCTGGTAATCAATGTATAATTGTACACAGGTCTGGGACCCTTGTGCAGTTATTACATAACAATTGCATGTTATTGTATACAGCTAAAGTATGGGCTGGAGGTTTAATGGCAAGATTTGGGATTCCCTGTGACATGTCTGTTTCCTCAGGCAAAACTGAGGTAAATAACCAAGTTGAGAGAAACTAGAAGCTTGCTATCTCCTACCTGCCCTATTTAGTGTGAACTTATGCCAATGTAACATTTGTAAAACAATAGACTATGGTGGACGTTGAGCATGATCAAAGAGAAAAGATGTTGCGCGCAAATTGTAAATAGATTTGGTAACAAGTTGTAGCCCAGCACTAAATGTGTTTTACGCGTATTGTCATATTATGCTTGGCAAAATCTCCTGTCAAAGAACTCAACTTAATAATTGTATAGGTCTGAGTGTGTTTACCTCTCTTTGATGGATGTAAATAATACCAATATATTGTAAGATATTTATGACAAAATGAAAGCATTTCTTTGCATTGAAAATTCTTAATTCCTAAGTAAACATGCAGACTTAATGGTGTAATATCTATATCGACACACATCCATATCATTTTCAACAGTATCCAACTTGAAGGATTTCTTCACTGACAAAACAATTGGAGTAAAGTGTCTTCCACAATGAAACAAATAGGACATGTTTTACATTTCAGTGTATGTATGAATGAATGGAATGTAAACTTATACTGCCTATTTTAAGGGTTTTACAAGAGAGTGATATATCTACTATCTACAATGTATATACACTGGTGCTTAAGTCTCCATCCCTAATTTGTTTGTAATATGGGAGTGTTTTGTTGGCGTGTTTTATCTGATTAAGTGTTATATCTCTCTATTCTTTACCTCAGATATATCTACCAGCAGTTTTATTTTGAAATTTAAGAATGTCAAAGTATTGTCAGTTTAATACTTTCAATTTTGATTTTTCGTTTTCATCATTTTTTTCTATTTGATGAAAAAATTCAGTAAACATTAAAATCACCTTTTGTACTACCAAAGAGCTTATCAAATTTAACCATGTATTAAAGTTATTTAGTAGATAAGAGTACTCGATATATAAAAGAAACAAAAAGGACTTTAAATGATAAGAATGACAATGCTGAAGAAAAGGACTCTATTACAGGATGTTAAAAATAACACATTGAACAAACCTGTTCTGTTATTTTTAGACCACATATAGCAGACTGAGGCTATAGACTGCATAAGAAAGGAAGTTTTATTTGTTGTTGAAGTTTATGTGAAGATTAAAGTAGATATTGCTTTATCTACAGTATGAATTATATGCCAGAGGAGAAATGTGTTTGCTTTCGTATAGTGTTATTACAATGTATGTAGATATTAATTTTTTTTGTCAATGTATAAGTATGAAGAATAAACCCATATTTTTCTTATAGAAGCCAGTATTTGTGCAGGTATATATACTGCATATCTGTGGGTTATTTGAATATGCAGTTTGAATTCAGTTTTTGGATTACCTGTGAATATATTTCTTTTACACCTCAGACTGTTTTATTATCATTACATATCTAATTTTTAAATTTAGAATGTAGGAGAAAAAAAAATTGCAAAAATAAATTTGTGTTTGAATCTTCATATACCGTTTTATATATCGGCACATTATTGATTATTTGAATAGGCTGCACAAATGCATTAATTTGAACAACTTCCTTTTTGGGTGCAAAGTTTAAAAATTTTATAGAATCCAAAAGTATTCAATAAAAAGCAAATAAAGGAGAATCTATACCACAGAATATTTAAGGAGGGTTATGCAAGCTTTTAGGTAGATAAATAAGCAACACTGTACTAGTGGATGAGGTGGGTGTGACGTTCAGTTGCGTCTAGTGCCAGATACATCAGGATAATATACTGTACCGTCCTGGTACCAGTAACACTAGGGGACTGTTACTCTGATGTAATGGGGCACATGAAAGGATCACATACATATGTCATATCTATACACACAGAATATAATGATGGAAACAGAAATGCAATGCAGTGCATTTTCTTTTTGTCATATCAATTTAATTAGCTAAAATGGCTTGTGAAATCATGACAAGAATTTTCACATTCACAAAAAAAAATTGGTTGGAATATGCAAGATTGTTTTTTTAGTATCAGAATATCAGATGGTGATTGGGGTAATTAGGAAAATCGCAGAAATGATGGATGTAGTTACAGCCTTTATTGTCTGTCTCAGAAATATTGATATTTTAGTCTCTCTGTCTACTTCAAATGAAAATGTTCTGGCCTTGAAGTGAAATAAAAATTCAATAATATGCATATAAGCTGTTTAATGCTTTTTTTTACATGATCTACTTAAAGTTTACTGTATATATCAATACTTTAAGCTGTAGTGACAGCATTGAATGCTACTCTTGCCAATGTGATGAATATTGAGTTTAGTCAACTTTCAGGTTTAGAAGGAAATTGTTAGGATGTTTATTCAATGATTTTTTGTTCTTATGCATATATTAATAACATTCATTCAAATGTGATATTATCTTATATAATTATGATATTAACAGAATTAAGATGTGTTGCAAACTTGGTATCTCCTTTGTGTGGAAGCTGTTTAGAATTGAGTAGTTCATGGTGACGTGTGTTACAATGTACATCCAGATGGGTATAAAAAAAGATAGATTTCTGTTTATAAATGTTTAACTTCTAATTAATTTTTAGAAATAATTGGTCTAAAACTCAAATTAATTTTTTAAAAAATGGAAAAATTCATGAAATCAAAATCTCTATACAAACATGATAATTAAAAGAGAATTATACAAATTTCAATCTAGACTTCGTAACAATGACTCACAAAAAGGTTTCCATCTATATATATATACAGGTACTGACTATTCAGCTTTTCCTTTGTCTGTGGTCTGTCATCTTTATCACAGTTTCGTGCAAAGTGTTGGATGGATTTTACTCAGATTTCAATCATAGGATCCTGTTTGTTCCTTGCTGTTCAATATTTGAACTGATCAAAAAAACAATATGGCTGACTGGTGGCCATATTGTAATTTGAATCTTTAGAAGTACCTTGCTATGCCTGTTTGATTTTTTAATTGATTGAAAAATGGCTTGGGGACAGGCAGCCATATTGTATTTTGAAAGTTAAAGTTTAGTGTCCTGCTCTGTCTATAGAAGTATTAGATGGATCATATGTCAGATATGATGAGCTTAATGAAAGGATTCTCTAGGTCCCTACAACTAGTTGTACATATTTGATTTTTGCAGAAATATGAAAGAAGTTGGAAAAAAAGAAACAATTAAGTAAATAAAGAATTGAACCAAGATAGTATGATATATAACGGACTCCAGTTCAAGGTCCCTGCTGTTATTCCTAACATTTTGTAGCATTGCTATTTAATGTTGCAGTGTTTATTCAAGTCTTGAAATTACATTTGTTGCTGAACACTGATTTGTTATGCAGGACTTTAATTAAATGCACAAAATCTGGACTTTAAAAAATCAATTAGCATATATTATATCAATTCTATGGTGTTATAAGTTCTGTTTTTGCTTAATATACATCTTAAGGTGTATTGTACAAGATAAATTCTCTCACCTTTCATCTCAGTTGAAGGTCAACTTGCATTAATAGGTATAACAATAGAGGCAGTTTAATTCAAATGTAATTCGTTAAGTTGTTGTGAGAGGAAATTTTTAATTTCCAAGGTTTACACTTATAGTTTCTGACAGAAAACTTTGATTAACACCTACAGTGTTGTGATTTATATGCGCAGCTCCTTCCAATGTCTCCTTCCTTTTGAGTTGTCTATAATTTTTTTCTACTTTTAATTTATCTTCACTCAAACATTGAATGATTATAGAAATTAAATCCGGTGAGTCTTT